CAGAGGGTCCCTGGAAATTGATATGCTCCAAGGACTTATAAGAGTGTTTGCGGTAGTCCTTGACTTGAGGATCAACCACAGGCGAGAGTTACTCCATTTATGCAGATGTACTTTCCTCACTCTATCACTTCAGAATTACAATTGCAATCAAGTTTGCATTGAGCTAGAATTTTTGCGCTCATTACAATATTCTAATTGAAGGAGAAAGCTCTACTGAATGATGGTAAAGCAGCTATTATCTGGCCCAAAAAAGCTATTTTAAAGTTTTCTTTAAAACCCACACTTGCATGCGTAGTTGTTAGTTGTGCTTATATTCCTTTCCTACTATTAAAATAATTTTTTTCTTGGAGGATGTACGATTAAATATTATTGCCATATGATTAATTTTTTTTAGGTAGTAGGTAACATTAAAAATCACAGAACGGTAAACTCTCTGCCGTGTTCTCGATCCTTGGTGGCTTGTAAGTGTAAAAGTAATGTAGGTATCATTAATTTTTTTTTCGATCGTAAAAGCGTATCTTTTAGTTAAGATGGCTATTGTTTGCGGAAGTAAGACAGTTTTAAGTAAAGATTAGGATAATGGGGATTGTACTATATGATCCAAAGTTGTGAGGTATTTTACTCTAGCAGTAATTGTGATTACTAAAGCAAGCTTTTACATGTAAGAAGAGCCTGCCTGTATACATCTAGGATTTTTTTTATAAGAAAAAGAAGGGACGAAAAGAAAGAAGAACGATGAACATTTATCAAACTCAAGTACTAGGCGTGTAGCTGCCGAAATAATGCCTGACGCTAAATAAAAGTACCACGATGGTTACTTTGTTACTCGTGTTGCTCTTTTGATAATGCTACTGCCGTTCTCACACCTGATTCATCACTTACTGGTTATGTAAAGATGTTAAAGGAATGGTAAAGATGTTTTTTTTGGGGGGGGGGGGAGAGATGGCATTGCTAGGTGGTAAACTGAGATAAAGGTGAAAAAGACTTCTGTTCAGTCGCTTATTGGTTTAGTAGGAGCGTCAACTCTTGTTCGAGAGGTAAAGGGTCTATTAATGAGTTATTAAGTGTTTGATTTATTAATTCAAGATGGCGGCGAACACGATGATTATTTCAGGTAAAAGCCGATGACGATCTAAAAAGCTGAAAATCTCGAAACTTCTTGCCTCAAACTTTCAACTACGGTTTGACTTTTAGTGTGTTTAACACACTAAACTTGGATGTTAACCTCTATTGTTTGTATGCGGACTCGTCCTGTGGGTTCGTCGAAATATGGCACAACTCGTAAAATACTCCGCGACACTACATACTAAAACGTCCAATAAGATATATGTATCTCACGCACAGCAGCAGCAGGGCACTATCTAAATTTTGATGTAGTAATCCCTCAAACAAATGCACATTACGTGCACGACTTTTAAAAGGATTGGTTTCATCAACTACAGACACAGGAAGCAAGAGAGACAAAGTTTTCTGTTCCTGTTTTAAGGTGCCTTTTATGAGTTGATTAGACCAGGAAACAGTTACAAGCGTTCAACACAATTTATTGTTATCGTTTACAACATATAATTTAAAAGATTTCTAAGCTGTAATGTGGCTTTGGTCTAAGCTTTCTACAGTTTTCAAAGAAAGTAAGTTCTAAACAGTCACTCCATTTAAGAAGTCTCCATAGGGTTTTTGCTCTTTTCTTGGTCACCAAGTCATCAGAAGGTGATGAGCAAGGCTCGGACCATCGTTTACTGTAGTCAATACTAACAAAATGATTTTTGTTCTTAAGCTAGGGCCCCACGAAGGGAGGCGCTCGCCAGCGAAAATTTGACTTTGCCTTTGATTTTCTTCAATTTTCTCCGGTGAAATCTCTCAAAAGTTTCACAATTTGTGAAATTTTTCTTGCCGATCATTTAAAAGCCGAGAAAAATAGGGGTTACATAGGCATTTTCCTCAGTATTTGCAGTTTTATGTTTTCTTCCTCTGTCTCAAATTCGGTCTCATGAATTCAGTTTTTATCAACAGGCACTAGGAAGGCTAAAAATATCTTTAACAGTACAGTAAATCAGGAAATTCCATCGAAGGAAACCCGATAAATCTTGCTCGAAAGATCCCTATTTTCTTTGTCATGCATACACTTTCCAATCTGTCGCCTTCTGGCAATCTTTCCCGCGATATTTTCTTTTCGGTTGACCTCTTTTTCAGGCGTAGGAGGACTATGAATGTTACGAGTGCAGTTGCCGGAAACCCTAGATTCCATCACATAAAAACTGTATTAAGTTAACTTTTTTTAACATACCTTTTCAGAAAACAATCGTGCGATCGTATCGAGCCGTCACTTTTAAAGCTCGCTCTATGTTCGTACCTAGATCTCGCGCGGTCAAAAAACCCTATGGAGCCTCCTTAATTAAGAAAAGATACTTGGAGTTAACTTACTGTTATTTACTGTACTACTTCATATTTACAATGGTAAACAAGGAAGCACTCGAATTGGAATATTTGCCTATAATTTTCTCCATATTTGAGATGCGCCAGTTACAACCATTGAATACTAGCCAATCAGCCGAACGTAATGGTTCATTAGGTGACTCGTATCCAGAAACCTAGTGATACTCAGAGGGAGTAACAACATCGTGAGACAAATCTACTTCAGGAGAAGTTTCCGCTGAAAGTTAACTAACTTTATATTACAGATAACATTCAGCACTTTTATCCTAATCTTTGAGAAAAGGCTTGCTTTGAAAGGAATGGGTGAACAAATTGAACAGCTAACTTTCTTCCGTAACCGTATGATTAAAAACGATCATCGCTCCAAAGGGGTTCTTTCAATCCTAAGAAGCCGTCTCTTTGAGCTCCCGTCTTCAACTAGTTCTGGGCAAAGTATGTACAAGTTTTCCATCACTGCTGTGGTGTACCTCGATTTTCACAGCATTACGCAACCAGGAGATTCCCCCTGAATAAGATGTTAGTTCATCGACATCAGGCCGCCACGTCTTCTACTTTCATCTTGAAGGTCTAACCAAGGGTTTAGTACATATGTCAGCATTTGTTTCTCTCTACAGGTTGTTCCTATCTAAGGAATTCTACGTAACGCCCGGAATTTGTATCGAGAGGTCCTGGACCTATCAAGGGCATCCGCTCGGGGACGAGGCTGTGGTTTAATGCTGTCATCAATGACGTAACATCCATCGGGGGTTTCGTTTTCTTTTTTCCACTGACCATAGATAACTTCTTTCTGTGATTGTTTCCACTGATGGTCATATTCGGCTGGGGACGAAGGCGGTATGCCAAAATTTGATATGTTAGAAGATGAGATACGATCATCGACTGAACCTTGGTCTGAGGGACAACATGCCATGGCAACTAAGACCTCATAAGGTATGCGGGACAGCCATTCTTTCCATTCGTGTCCATCTGATTCGTTTACCTGAGAAGAAAGTTTCAAAAAGTCGAGTCACGTTGATGGCCTTTTCAAACCGTCTGAATCTCGATATCTTTCAAGCTTATGGTCATTAGAACCACAGAAATTAAAGCTCTATCTACACTCATATATTTATAGTCGTCTAAACGGTGCCGGTAAGCTACGTAAATTATTAAGGTAGAAAACATTTTCAGCATAAATGAACTGATAAATGAATAAATGCTCTTCGCTGATGTTTTCAACCGGGGTCACTGGCTGTGAGAGTTTTTAAAAGAAACAGAAGTATCTCGGACACAACAAGAGCAGGCCAAGACTCTTACGACCAAAACTTCACGCCTCCGATCCACAAATTAAGGAGAAAATGTGTACGGTTAAGTCGTAAGACCTTTCTGGCAACATTTTTTACTGGCAAAAGTTTTTTTGCCGCTCTCCATAGCGCGAAGAGAATAAGAATATTGCTACTCTCCCCTGGATGGGATGTAAGTTCACGCGGGTAGACTAACGACTTGGCCGTCTATTCAGTATTCTCCTTTTCAGGCGGTAACCGGTAAATTTTACTGCCTGTTATACTGCTTATTACCGCCTAATATCTCTTGGAATTTGTGAAAATGCAATAGATAAAAGTATTGCCCTAACGGTTTTAAAAATTTTTTTACCTGTCGTGCTTAAAGTGAGAGAGAACACTGACATATCCTAACACAAATAGGAATTAAAAATTACATTGAAATAGCTCACCAAATTGGACGAGTTCAGGGAATTTTTTCTTCCCATCTTTAAACACTTTAAATCTTCCTCTACTCGAATGAGTCGTTCTCTCAACGCACTTATTTCCGCGGTGTTCGATTCGTACCTCTCTTGGTACTGTTGTTTGCTTTTTTCCTCGATTTCGTAAAAGGCCTTCAACACTTCATCCCAACTCTTCAGTTGAGGTAGCTCAGAAACAGTTTGGTCTCTCTCCATCTCTAGCTCACGATTCCGAATGGTGAGGTGTTCAACTGTCTTACAATTGCCTTGCAGCAGGGATATCGTTTCTGATAATTTCGTGGACTTGCATTGTTCCTCTTCAAAAATCTGTGACAGTTTTTTTATCTCGTTGAGCAGGTTTGCATTCTTCGCCCTTTCTTCATCAACTTGACTTTTCAACTTCTTAACTTCCCCCACGGCGGAAAGTAGCTCCCCTATTATTGCCTGCACTAGTAGATTTTGTAAAAAGTTCCCATTAACATCCGAACCAGTTATCAATTCCTCGAGACGAGCCTTGAGTTGTTGGTCCTCTTTCAAATGAATGTTAAGGATGTCTACGCCACACTGGGAAGTGAGACCTACAAGTCAAGCCAAATGAAGATGATCAACAAGACCACAGTTGATAGCGTTGAATTTTGGTTTAATCGAAGGGATTTTTTTTCACTGCGCCGTGCCGGGCACAGGCCATGCAGAAACATGGAAAACCTCTCTTACGGTAGCGCTAAGATAAGTTTGGCTTTTTACTTCAGTTAATTTTTCAGTTCTTTGCGTAAAGAGAATGCTCTAGATTAATGTTGGTCAAGAGCAGTTTCTGGAGTTGCTGAGGATAGTTTCGGACATACCATGCAGTCGAGCGAGTGCATATCCCTTTTACAATGTACTCGAGACATAAAGCCTCATTTATGGGGCTTAAACGTCGTTGATGCGTCTTTGAGAAGCGAAACTCAATTACTGTGGGCTAGAGTAGGGACTGAGACAAATCTCATGCGTGGAAATTGAACTCTTGAAAATTAGTTCTTCAAATTCCAACCGACGGGGCCAAAATTATGTTCAAATGCCCTACCCAAGTTCATTTTTCTTTTTTGAAAAAAGAAAACTCTGGCAACTCACGGGTATTTTATTGTCGTCCATGCCTGGGGAATGGGAAATTTGAACCTTACATGGGTGGGGTGGGGAATTTGAACCGGAAGTGTAAGTCTTTTTAGAGGGTTAAAGAAGTAAAGGTCTGCAAGGTCTGCAAGGTCTAGAGTTTTAAAGCTCGGTTAATGAGTGGAAAGTCACGGATTTGAATTTGTTTTGTCCATTTGACAAACTTTTCAAAAGCGATTTGTCTAAAAGATATCGATTCTGAATATTTTCTTGGATTTACAAAACATTTTTGGATTGTCCCTCTCGGCTTCCGTACCTCTCTTATCGCCATCAAAAAATAAGTAAAATATGGTTTCTTAGGTCGTGGGTCTTAATTTCCGTTTTCGCTACAAACGACAGTTCAGTGATGAACAAGGATTCAATTCGAATTCATAGTTTCGTTTTTCACATAGATTAGGTGTAGAACTTGTTTAAAGCCATCGAAAGAATTTAAAAAATATCCTTCACGAAGAGCCTCTCAAAGCAAAATAGATTTTAGAGCAAACTCAATTAGCGATTGCGCGCTTAATGAGGGCGCTTCATGCTCACCGCTGATGAAAAAAAGGAAGGAAAGGAAGTATCCCGAAAGGTTGGGTTTCCTTTATACTGATAAGAACATTAAAACACTCGAAAAACGAAATTAAGACCCACTCAAAAACATGATGTAATTTACGTAATATCTAACGAAGAATATCTAAACCGTTGGCGTGACAAGGAGGATCAACTGCAATTGTAGCTTACAGGCTAGGTTTAAATTCACAAGAATCTTTTCTTTTTCGAAATTTTTCGTTCTCAAAACGGTATGCAAAATCAACCCTTCCTAGCGTTAATACCGGATCGATTATTTACATTCATTTGGTAACCAAATATTTATCCCATTGCAACAATGCCGCCCAGACATATTTGCTTTTGCCCAAAATCAACAGATACTTCCGTAATATTAGAAAAACTTCTGGAATTTGCTTTCATTCTGGACGAAATAAGTACTTGGACCGGTAAGTACTTGGATAAGTAAGTACTTGGACCGACTTCTGACCGGCAAGCTGCCGGTCCCAAATATAGGTGAGTCAACATAGATAAATAACTTTTCTCCTTTGACCTTTAAATCTCCCCCATTTTTTTATTAATGGAATCAAATTGTCCATAAACAAACATTGTTCCAAATAAATGGCAACTTCTGGATCGAGGTAACATTAGAGATATCAGGCTAACAAGTTAGGGTAAATTTTTTACTGTTCAAGGCAGCCCAAAACGACCTTCGAACGTTGAGATAACCTGTAATCAAAATCTGCTATCTCCCACATTTTTTCTAATAAATGTTAAGAACAAGGGTAGATCTTTTTGTTTATTTCAAGAGATTTTAGGAAATCTATGCGAGAGGGCTAAAGTCGAAGTCATAAGAACACCTTCGATAGGCCATATTGGTGGGCAAGGATGGGCGGACGTGGTCGGCTTTATCGATTTTTTACCAAGCAAAAACAAATGGAACTTTTTAATACCTATTTCGTGGTCAGGACCCTAAATTAGCCTTCATACCAAATTTCAGCCAAATCGGTAAGGTTAGGTGGCTGCGATTTTTTTAAAAAGTTCGAAAGTCAGAGACTATTGCTCCTAAGCAGCCACGGAACTAAAATGAAGCCCTCATATGACACATCAAAGGGTTTCACCGTAGATTTTTCATGATTCAATCAAATTTGTTTTTTCCAATCCTTTATAGCAAACTCTTACTTTGAGGGGAAGTAGATATAAAACATCAGGATTTGTAGAGTAGCCAATAACGCGACAATTTAAGCTCTGACAGATCGAAAATTTTAGCGTCATGCGGACACTAGCAAGGGGCCCCTGGGTGTCTGCTGACACAGACTTCGATGTATTTACTATGATCGATTATCGGATTCTCTCCAGATGAACATAATTAAATAATTTTCAAGGGAGCAGTATGTTAGAGTTGCTTCCAGCATTTGAAAAATCCATGAATTTTTGGTAGGGAAGAGAAGGAGAGCGGGCGCACAGCTCACATTAAAAGGGCATCAAAACGTCCTAGATATTTTCTTGTATAGAAATTAAATGCATCGCAGGTTCGAATGTCATCTGGACAGCTGCGTGAGTCTTACGCAGATTGGATAACATTGACATAGGACAAAACTCATTTGCATTGGACTTGGACGTCATCTTAAACTAACTATGTGCGGTTTTCTCTCTCTGTAGCCAAACGCTTTATTGCCTATTCGATGGGTGTTTCAAATTTCTCTTGAAAATATTTGCTGATGCAATCGTCTGGATGTCGAGAGGTCATGAATATTAATGAAATAGGAATTCCATTTAGGTATTAATGACATTCTGTGGCGTGATATTCCTCGTTTCGGCTGAGTAGCCACTGAGCATGAGCCCTATCAATATTTTCACCTTCCATCGAGGCCTTAAAATCCGAACTATTAGACCTCGAAATCGAACTGCACTCACTAGAAGTTCTATCCTCCATATTTACTTTGCTAAGTGTACAAACGTGTGATGTTCAAGCCACATGATAAAATTCGAAGCACTTATGGCGGTATTCCGCCGTGACTTTTTAGCCGTCGTGGTGGCCGTGAGTGTTTACTTACGTCACGTCGCCCTTACAATGTTATCGGTTTGAAACGATCGGTAGTTCAATAACAAAATCTTTAAAAAAATCATTTATAGTGGCGATTATCTACCCAAAATATAAACGACGACAATATTTCCGTCTTAAAATACAGTATCTAATAAAATAACGCATATTTGATAACATCTGAAAGATCCTCGAATTTGTTTTATATCCAACGAGTGACAAATTATAAAAGTTGTCCTTACTTGGTGTAACTCTCTGTCCAGTTAGCTTTTCGTACAATCCTGGGTTTAAGAGCTGCAAAACATCGATGAAATGCTGCAGACCTTTCGTTCCTTTAGTCGCAAGAATATCCAAAAGCTTGCTGGCTCTCTGTTCGTTTGTCCTCTCTGCATGCACAATCTGACAGTCTTCGGCGTCGAAGACGTCCTTACTGCGCAAGTAATCGAAAAGGACACATCGGTCGACGCGAAGCTCCTGCACAATTTGCACCCGGTGGCACCTTAACTTCTCCCACATTTCCTCAGCTGAGCAATCCATGGCTCTAGCTGGTGAACAGTAAGAATATCGAACGGAACGTTTTGCATTGATTTATTTCTTTAAGAATGTCATGTGATGATTGGGACTTTCCCAGTCATCGATTTCAGCTTTGCGCCTGCGCGAGTCACAGTCACATTCACAGTAA